GTCTCGATCTCTTGACCTCGTGATCCACCCGCCTCGGCCTCCCAAAGTGCTGGGATTACAGGCTTGAGCCACCGCGCCCGGCCAATGAAATCTATTTTTTAATTAAAAAAAAAAAAAAATGGGCCGGGCACAGCGGCTCACACCTATAATCCCAGCACTTTGGGAGGCTGAGGTGGGCGGATCATGACGTCAGGAGATCGAGACCAAAGTGAAACCCCGTCTCTAAAAAAATAAAATTAAATGTAAAAAAAAATAATTAAATAAAAATAAATAAAAATAAAATCACCCACTGTCATGACACAGACAAAAAAATTAAAATAGGCTGGGCACAGTGGCTCACGTCTGTAATCGTAGCACTTTGGGAGGCCAAGAAGGGCTGATTGCTTGAGCTCAGGGGTTTGAGACTACCTGGGCAACATGACAAAACCCAGTCTCTACAAAAAAATACAAAAATTAGCCAGCCATGGTGGTGAATACTTATAGTCCCAGCTACTTGGGAGGCTGAGGCAGAAGGGCAGATTGAGCCCAAGAGGTCCAGACTGCAGTAAGCCAAGGTCACGACACTGAACTCCAGCCTGGGCTACAGAGTGACAGCCTGTCTCAAATAAATAAATAAATGAGTTTAATGTAATGTAAAAATTTATTTTAAAAAATCACCTGTGCTTACTATTTATCAGCATATATCTAAACACATAACAATACAGAAAAGATTAGCACGGCCCCTGTGCAAAGATGACATGAAAATTTGTGAAACATTGCCTATTTTTTGTTTAGTTTTGTATTTTGAGATGGAGTCTTACATTGTCATCCAGGCTGGAGCACAGTGGTGTGATCTAGGCTCACTGCAACCTCCGCCTCCTGGGTTTGATCGATTCTCCTGCCTCAGCCTCCCGAGTAGCTGGGATTACAGGCGCCTGCCATCATGCCCAGCTGATTTTTTTTATTTTGAGTAGAGACAGGGTTTCACCATACTGGTCAGGCTGGTCTCAAACTCCGGACCTCAGGTGATCTGCCCACCTTGGCCTCCCAAAGTGCTGGGATTACAGGCATGAGCCACCACCTCTGGCCAACATCTCTTACTTTTTTAAAATTTATGTTTTAGTTTTTTAAAATCACCTGCATTGTCATCACTCAAAGATAAATGATCACTTAAAATCTGGGAGCCAGTATCATTATTATTCTTATTTAATCCAGAGAAAGAGACTCAAATAGGTCCCAATAATCTCCCAAAGATTTTTTTTCTTAGAGAATAGATCACATTTACTCCTGTAAATCAGAGATTTTTGAATGCTTTTTTGTCTAAGCACATACTTAAAATACGTGCTCTGTACCTCTTCTCCCAAGAACAGAGTCTAAGCAGAATTGACATGGAAATATCTTAATCCAGCTATTAGTCCAGAGATGGCTGACCCATCCCTGTAAAAGTCTTATACACCTGATTCTGAGACAAAGGGAAAATGAATTATTTCATCAGAATGTAGTAGTAATTGGGGTCTAAAGAATAAAGGAGAGAACTAAAGATACGCTCTCATTCTTTCACCATCAAGGAGGAAGTTGAGGAAATGACCTGGCACTTCTTAATTTGTTTTGAGAACTATGGTTCTACTGAAAGGTAAGCTCTGTTACGTACAACCTTCAAAATGCCCTCAAATGCACCAAACATAAGGCAAGAATGAGAAAAGAGTGCCCTCTGGTCTGCATCTGAACTCCAAGTACAGAGGCCAGAGGACCTCCCAATGACCACTGCTCAAAAATCATCCAGGCAAAGGAAAGGATCCATTGTTAGGACTCTTGCACACATTGACGAAAAGTATTTTATAAATACGCAATGAAGAAAAGTTAAAAAGAGACTGGATGAAATATGTTTTCTTACCTAATGATAGAGATTGGCAGTTTGACTCTCACTGATGTAACAGATATTCTAATGGGCAACAATTATGTAGTGAAACAAGGAAAGTGAGTACCATATTCCCCCCATGTCATGCTGAGTGTGTACAGAATGTAATAAGCAGGTCCCCATTATGTGAAGCAGCTGTCCTTCGAGGCACTCAGCTGAAAGATGGGAAGAAACACAAGGTGGGGACGGGCTGCTCTGGAACTGGGTGCCATTGAGATGCTGAGTATTTTGAGCACGAAGAAGGCCGAGAAGTAAGGAAATTTCAAGATTTCAGAGAGGAAACTATCTCTAATGGGCAAGGAATACCCATATTCCTAGGTCTCAGGTCCCAGCATAGAAACCATTCCAGTCTAGCGACTCTCAACAGAATTTACAAGTGAAATAAAATACCTTTAAGTAAGTAGGATTCAAGAATAACAGCTGGGGCCGGCCGTGGTGGCTGACGCCTGTAATCCCAGCACTTTGGGAGACTGAGGCAGATGGATCACTTGAGGTCAGGAGTTCAAGACCAGCCTGGCCAACATGGTAAAACCCTGACTCTACCAAAATTACAAAAATTAGCTGGGCATGGTGGCAGGCGCTTGTAATCCCAGTTACTTGAGAGGCTGAGGCAGGAGAACTGCTTGAACCTGGGAGGCGGAGGTTGCAGTGAGTCAAGATCATGCCACTGTACTCCAGCTGGGCAACACAGCAAGACTCTATCTAAAAAAACAAAAAAACTGTTAGAACTAATAAACAAGTTCAGCAAAGTTGTAGGATACATGATTGACATATAAAAATACATTTCTATACACT